CCGAACGAGGATTGCATCGTACGATTTAAATTTATCACGATTTTCCTTGCAGTCAATATGACGCTCGTCACCTTGCAGATTGCAATGTACTTCACATAGTTTTTGGTACCCAATACTTGCAACATTAAATAATTAAACAAGATATCTTTTTAAAATGTCATTTTACTCTTGGTCATATTATTTTATTCCCCTTACCGCTTTGAATTTCAAATCGATTACATATCGAACTTCTGTACATGTTTTCTCTACTGCTTTTCCATGTGAAAATAATGAGGTCAGGCTCATGTCACAATACTTTGAAGCTGATGCCATGTTGATGCCATGAGACTGCGAAGCTGAGGCCATGATGATGCCACAAAATAAGAGACGAACACAGCTTCAATTTTCAATGACGCAAAGCTGATGCCACAACGATGCGATGCTGAGGCGACAATGAAGCCATGCGTATGCGACAATGATGCCACAAAAGCCAAAGCTTCCGCGAGAACTGTACTGTATTGACTGCAATTTAGGCTGTAGCCACTGTAACTTACTTAATCACTGTACTTCATTCTTCAAATTATGTTTTTTTCAGTGCGAGAACAATTAAAGGAATTCACAAAAGACTATGACAAATCAGAAAATGACCTGAAAGCCCTTCAAAGTGTTGGACAGGTAAGTAATATTACAGCACGTACAAGTATGCATCATTAATGTACAGTCAAACCTATATAGACAGGTGATCTTTATATGGAAGTGGCCTAATTTATTCATTCAATCATGAATATTAATTAGGTCGGGATTTAAGGGAGATCGTAAGCTAAGCAAAAGTGCAAACCTACACATTGTACAATAAATAGGTCATTTTTAGTGAAAGTAAATCATTTTCATCTTGACAATTACACAGCTTTACTTTTTTACAACAAATTATATCATGTACATATGCTGAAGCCAAGTGATTCTGCCCATGGATTTATTCGTGTATTTAATGCATTGGCGTTCCAGCTCGATCTTTCACACTCTCCCCATGCAGTCCTATTTCTAGTATTGTCAGTATTGCCGATTGTACACTGTGACAAAATGTAAAGACAAAGTCACCGCGTTTGGAAAAAAAACAAGAATTTAAAATGACGATGCATTGAAGATAAACTAAAATTACAAAACCCATAATGATTGCTTCAACTCTGTGTTATGAACTGGGAATGAACCAGGATGCCAGTACATGCAGTTTTACAGTTGCGAGCATCGGTTGTCAAAACTGCCCAAACGAAGCAACTTTTTCTTGTTCTGATTATGTTGCGAATTATTGATATTACCTTTTATTTAGAAAAAAGAATCAAAAAAGTAAATATCTTTTGTTGAGATTGACACAGAGATGACTCCTCAGTAACAATCTGTGTTGCCCATACGCTAGCTTCATTAGCATAATTTATAACGATCAACAACAAACAACATGGTAGCCCAAATTTTGCAATCCCGTGATGAAAAAGAAATAAACAAATGTTTTATTATTTTGTTAGGATATTTCATGTCAGCAAAGCAAATAAAACATTTCTCATTCAATAAAACTGGTTCATTTTTCTTTGTTTACAAGACTGCAAGAATTTTCTCTTCAAGTGTAGGATTGATAGTAATAGTACCAGTGTTCTCCATGCGTTGATTTGGTAGGCCGGGCCACCATGGTAAAATCGTACGCCGGCAGGCTAAATATCGCTCCGCCAGGGTAAAATTCTTCAGCGCCATGCTAAAATGACCAAATATAATCACGCACAAGTATAAATAAGTTACCTTAGCAACCTTTTTCTTTTATGATGTGCGCGTCTATCTAGTAAAATTGTTATTACCGACTGTATATTCGGCGGTACTGTAATAGCACAACTTGTATGCAACTCTGTTTTGGCTTTGAATATTTCAACATCGTTTACTTAGTGTGCTGCTTTTCTAATAACGCAAATATGTTTCAACTCAGAAATACCATGAATGCGAAGAATTAACTGAAAAAAACAAAAAAAAACACGTCAATAATAGAATAAACATTAATGATACCTACCGTCATCAAATCAACAAGAGGCTTGAATCAGGAAGGCTCTGTGTTTTTAAACTTTATTTAAGTGTAATAAACATAAGTGAAATGTATGGACGAGTCATAATACTCTAAAGTTACGACTTTTACTTTTGGAATTGGTGATAAAATACATGCATGAAATGACAGAATAAGACATGTCAGCGTCACTTCCTGTCTGACACGGCACAGCACGTCTGTTTGGTTTGCGAAAGGCTTCTTTTACTTAACACAAATCAAAGGTGTTATTGTCAAACTGAATTGGTATATAAGAAACGAATGATTATCGAATTTGTAAAAACAATCGAAGTACAATTTGTACGACTTTACGTTAGTCAATATTTTACCGAATCGCGTGTGAACTAAATGCACACATTTTTGTCAACGACGTAAGCAAAAAGTGATACTTTGTATGTCGTACTGTGTCATTTTTTTATATAATTATATATTTTTTATATAATCAAAATGACATCGACCATCTGATGGAAACGTGGGTGGTCGTCATACAAAGGTTTAACAGTGTTCCCCCCAAAAAATTATCTCAGGGTTGTGGCTAATTTGCATACTAATTAACATAATGTACCGTACGGTTATATTTTATTTAAATAAACAAGATTTAAGGTATACTAGTACAGTGAAACACATTAGTTAATTAAAATGAAATATATTAATTTTAATTAAATTTAATTAAATTTAATAACTTAATGAAAACAAATAACAAACATTTATAGAGAAACATAGCATGCTATTTAAGGATGTAGTAGACATAACAGTCACTATTTTATACATTTTTTGTTTATTGTCTATTTCGGTGGCATTTGTCTATCTGCATGCAATGGATGTGTTTCCCACTCAAAATAGTAACCAGTACACCCAAAAAAGGCATTTTTAACAAAAAAGTTAGGATATGTGTTTATAA